CACCTTTTGAATTTTCCCTCCTTTTTGCCATTTTTCAAATGTCGTGTAATCGGATTAGATTCTCGACGACAAATGAAATGGCCACGGAGAGCTTTAGTGAAGTATACTTCATTTTAAATCATTAAACTCACTAATTTCGTGGTCAGCTTGACCAATTAATATATTACAATTAATCAAGGTTTTTAGTTGAGATAAAAAAGTCAATGGCACGAGCGGGATTCGAACCCACAATCTTCGGCTTGATACGCCGCTACTCTACCACTTGAGCTATCGTGACCTCAATCCACTCGGACATCAACTTCCCATCTCAACCGCAAGAAGATCATGGGTTCGAATCCCACTCGTGCCATTGACTTTTTTATCTCAACTAAAAACCTTGATTAATTGTAGTAATGATTTAAATAGATTTATAATTTTTATGTAATGCCAGGAGGTGAAGTCATGATAACACTAGTGGTTAGTCATGGGTTCAAGTCCTGCTCATGACACTACTTTTTCATTTCAACCACACTTCACATAAAAATTATACATCAATTTAAATATTTCATAATAAATTAAAGATCCAGCCTACTTATGCAAAATCACCAAATATATGTTAAAACAAAGCCATATAAGAATAGTTCTTTGAGTAAATTTACCTTGGAATGTAGANCAAATTTACACCTGCATATACATACACAGACATGTGTACACAGTTGAGGTGTCACTTCTCACAATTTGTAATTTACAATAAGTTACCAGCAGGCCTCGAAAATCACCCACTCTGGGTGTGAGCAGTCCAGGGTCAGACCTCTGTCTTATTTGTCTGACTGCCAAGTTTGGGCACCAGGGGCTTTCAACAGCTAGGTCATTTCAGCCTCCAAAAATTCCGAAACCAAACCCCTTCACACTCTCACTTACTCTTAAATATATTCTTTATCTACTATTCACTCAGGGTGGTGGAGTACTTGATATTCCTCCATCACCGTCTACATATATTATGTAACTAAACTAAGTGTGAGTCTATGAGGTACGTAATATTCTACCTTTGGCCCTATTACACTACATATTCACTCTTAAAATACGCTAAAAAGAAACCAGATGAAAAAGTGTATAACAGTAAACAGCCTTGAATGGGGACCCAAAGAATCGCTGCTGTACTCAAGCACAATTGTCATATCGTTTGGCATTACTACACACTCCCTATATGTAGCCAAAGAATTGCACCCTTCAATCAGGCAGGACACAATGAACAACCTTTTTCCATGCTGAACTAATAATTAATTAAAATACTAAAACAAAATAATATAATTACCGGCAACATGGCATTGAATAAATGTGTTATTAAATTTGCTCCATTTAATACGGCCTCTTCAGCAACAACATAACTAGCCATGGAATGTCCTAAAAAGAATTTAAATCAGTTTATAACTGCTGAAATGATTATTCTAACTGGCTGTGATATTTAACAAAATGATTCATTTGAATTCATGAAAGAATGGGCGTATTATTCAATAATGGTAGTGCTTGTGACACTAATTTTTCAACTCAATCATACTTTACATAAAAATAAATATCAATTACAAATGGTAAATTTAAAAACAACAGTAATAAATATCTCACCTACTGAAACAACAATTCCTTGAGATGATAATGCATTTACGACTTTCAATGCGTTCTTCTTTTCTGGGGCTAATGTAACTATCATAATGTTGTTCAAATCACCATATATTTGTTGAACAGTTGAAATTTCCTAAAATAATAAAGTATTCAACAATAAATTAAAACAATAGTTATACATTTTGAGGTTGTTTATAACTAAAATGATTATGAACGTAACAAAAATTGTATTAATTTTTAGCAGTATGGTCATTCCTGGTTTTTGAGATATGTGTATTATCCATTTATATTTTAGCATTCGACTATCTAAGTAGGCAAATGATCTCAATTTCAAAAATTTTTTTAATAATTATAAAATGTAATAAACATATCATTACAGATATACAAATTAAAATGTAAGAAATATAAAACAAATACTACAAAACAAATAAAATCTTATTCTTTGTCATATTTAGGTGACAAGGATCTTGATTGGTGTCATGGTTGCTGAAATGACGAAAAAAAAAAGTGAACGCCAGACAAACAAAAACAATCGGGCAAAGTGTAAAGTTTTGTTTTTCTTTTTTGCATATTAGCCAAAAGACATGTATATATTATATGCATATGCATAGGGGAAAAGAAACATGAAAAAAAGAACCAGGAGCGATGGTGGGAATCAAATCCATGACCACAGGGTCTACAAGCTGATAATCTATCACGCTAACCACTCAGATACCACAGACCCCCCCCCCCTTTTACATGTTACAAACCAAACAAATGCCTGCATTGATACTACAGTAACTTCCGCTGAAGAATATCGTTAATTTCACAATTAGCTGACCTCAACTGAACTAATAATCTTATTTTCCTAATAGATAAACTAAAAAATAAATAGTGTTCAGCGCAAGTAGGTCAGATATCTTTCTGAACCGAGGGTTAAATCACGAGTTGAGGCATTTATCAATGTCCTTTAAATATACATTATTCTTCCACCTATCAACTATATGTCTTTCCTATTTAAAAGGTATTCTGAATTTGTATGATAAGAGATGGATTTACACCCTAAAAGAGTTAAGGTCATCAAACCAATTACCAATGATGGACCAGCAAGAATTTGTGTTATTTAGAAAATATTCAAACGAGGAGAAAAGTCTTTGTTTCATTTTAATATTTTTCCCCTCCAGTCAGGGAGTGCAAACCCCGCTTCCTAGTATCCTTTTCTACCATACCATACCATACCTCCAGTCAAAGGTCCTTTTGAGAAGTTGGGTGCTTGGTGGATTTAAACCAACTTCAGTTCTAATGTAGAGGTCTGGAGTGTTGAAAGGAATGTGATGCAATAGTTTAACGAAGCCTACATGAAGTTTCTCCATTTCTTCCATATAACTCAATGCCCATAGCTTATCACCGTAGAAAGCAGAGGCTGATAAAATGGAATCAAAGAGCTTAACTTTCATTTCCAGTGACTTACCTTGGATAAGAATTTACTTGGTTTGCCTAAAGCTTTCTTGCCTTTGATGAGAAGATTTTTCATGGTTAGACAGCTAAACAGAATACCAAGATATTTATATGGATTTGTGTTACTTAATGATGTTCTCTTCGGATCACAGTGATCACAAATATATAAATATTTACAAATTTTCTACATATTTTTTTTTTATACATTGACTTTTAGGTTGCTTATGGAGAAGTATTAAGTCAGCACACTGAGCATGCACTGCGCTTCAATAAATTAATCGGCAAATAAAATTATGCGGCCTGCAAACAGAAGATGTTTGTAGCATTGTCCAACTTGACCCCTATGACATTGTGAGATTTCAAAAAAGAAACGACATAAGATAAAAATAGAAAAAACAGCAGGGGAGACAATGATTCACCTTGCAACACGTCCTTCGTTGTAGGTACATCCTCATCAATTATTTTGTTATTTATTTTCAGTCTAAAATTCACTGAACAGTCCAAGGATTTGACCTACCAGATTATTTTGCCATTAAAGCCAAGATTATGGAGCTTAGGCCAGATAAGTTTGTGTTGGGGTGTATCAAATGCCTTCTTGAAGTCGACAAAGATAGCAAATAAATATTGCTTTTTTTTCTTTTTCTTTTTTTTTTAAGAAATGGCATAACCAATTTGTGTAAAATGGAGGTAAAAAGTATAAAAAAACGATCTGGGACAACAATCCGCCAACAAACATTCATCAAACTGTAAACCATACAACCAAACTTTAAAAAAAACAATGTTATTTGATCCAATCAAATGTCAAATCAAATGTATATAAAAAAAAGGATGATGGTTTTACCTTACATTTTCAAATTCACAAATATCAGCCTCAGAGTGCGCCCCTTTCTTTTCGGCGCTTATAAAAGGTCCTTCAACATGTGCTCCCAAAATTTCAGCACCCCATATGCCACCTTTTCGCCGCTTCAAAAGAGGCAATATCTGAAGAATAAAAAATTCAGTATTAGCACAGTACATAGACCTATTTAAACCTACTGCTACAGAATGATCTATTTTTTGCATTATAATTGTCAAAAAAATAGTAATTTAGTCTTTTCTTGGCCATCCTAGTTTGCTTATCCTCGCTGTGTTAGTCTAGATGTGTTTCGCCATTCCCCTGAAGATACAAGAAGATGAACATCTGACAAAATTTACACAGCTAGTATAGGCAAACAAAAATGGTCAGTAACAACCAAATTACAGGTTCATCACATCGCAGACTACACAGAAAAATCTCACCATTTTCTTCTTTGTTCAATTACTTTAGATAAATAAATGGTTGTTTTTGTAAGTGTGAAAGTTTAAAGTAAACCAACCGTAATCAAACAAAAATTAGAAAAAATGTAGACGATTTTTTTCTGTCAATTGGACACATTTATTAATATTGGCTGACAGTAAGGTGGCGACTAATGTAGAATTCAAAATTTGTTTTTTCTTTACATCTCAAAAGGCATTAAATGCAACAAATACATAAAATATAAAACAAAAAAATCGTTCTTGACTTTTTAAAAGCATTTGTTCTGTCATAATAAAATGGGCTGCCTAGTTGACTTACTCGAATCCTTTTCCTATCCATGAGAAAATATTCTTTCACAACTACATGAATTTTGGGCATGACTTGACCTTTTTCACAGTAGATCCACAAGTATTATGTAAAATTGACCTTTTTTATTGTTTCAAATACCTTATAACACCCCAAACTATGTTCTTAACCTAAAGACCTCATACAATTGGAATTTTGAAAAAATTACTAATTACAATAACATGTATTGTAAAAAGTGGAATGAAATATAACTTTCTTTGGGAATCCCATTAGATTTTGATACTCCCAATTTAATACCCAGTTGAATATGTTATTTAGTTGTTATATAATATCTTTAGAACGTAAAATATATAGTATGCATGGATTATGGATGAGAGAGATATCTCACTGGCACTCTCAACACGACACACAAGATTGATACATCTACACAGAAAACAATCACTTTGAGCCCTGAAGATGATCTCAATAAAGATCGAAATGTTGGCATGATAAAAAAAAATGGTTTTCTAAAACCGACGTCACACCAGACCGCATCTCACAATTTCCAAATAATCATTAACTAACAGTCACTAAACACCACACATTTTTCCTTATGTTTTATATGGACCCGTTCTGAGATCAAGAAGTCTATGTTTGATCTTGTGCATTACCAATGAGAGGTTCTGGGTTTGTAGTAGGTCTTGCAGAACTTCTTCTGGCCAGTTTATTGGCAAAATTTCTTTGTATGCTGGCACCCAAGAAATCGTCACATTGTTATGTCTCAGGGTTTGGAGATGCATTCATGGACTAGCATGGAATGTCTGATCACATGGGAAATTCTTTATCAGTGTAACGCTAGTAATATCTTTATGATCCAAACAATGAAAACATATATTTCAGCTTGAAAGACCGAGGTGTACTTTGATTTTAATTGCTTATATTTTGGGCTTGCACAGAATAATACCTTACCCGGTTCCTTCACTGTTCTAAATCTATCTGTACATGTTTCTTCTAATTTTTGCCCCCCCCCCCTTTGCAATATATTAAAATGTGTAGTGATTAGTGACCGTTAGTCGATGATTATTCGTAAATCGTGAGATGCTGTCTGGTGTGACGTAGGTTTCAGAAAAACGTTTTCTTTATCGTGCCAACGTTTCGATCTTTATTGAGATCCTCTTCAGGGCTTAAAGTGTTTGTTTTCTGTGTAATTGTGCCATTCTTGTGTGTCGTGTTGAGAGTTCACGATAATCAATAAAGGTCGAAACGTTGGCACGATAAAGAAAATGTTTTTCTGAAACCTACGTCACACCAGACCGCATCTCATGATTTACGAATAATCAATATATTAAAACTTTTCCTTTTGTCTTTTTTGGATTCATTCTGAGATGGAGGATTCTTTGTTTGTTGTTATTATACCAAGAATAGGTTCAGAGCTTATACGTATTCTTGCAAATCCTCCTCTGGCCAGGATATCTGCCTTTTCATTACCCAAAATTCCCCTATGTTCTAGTACCAAAGGTATCATCTGGTTGTTGTGTTTCCCCAGGTTTTGGATGCATTCACTGACTAATTTGGTTGTAACCTCTTTTAAGATCTTCTAAGGCACAAGCATTGATGCATGTAGAGCAGAATTGCTGAATCTTAACAATAAGCCATATGATAAATACCTTCAGCAAATGTTTTCCATGTGTAATCGTAAAGAACCAGAAAACAGAAAACATTTCTTAGCAGTACGCCGTTATTTTAGAGAATTTAGGGCTATGTACCTTTAAAACAAACAAAAACAAAAAAAAAGACAGTCCGTGTTAATACATGATAAAAAGAAGTGACAGCATCAGTGTGCCTAATTGACAGAGAACTTCTCATCAAGAGCATTGTCAAGAGGTGGTGATCCTCAAAGGATCTAGTAGAAGATGGGATCGTCCTCACCTGATTAAGAACAGGCCATTCAAGGTTGACACAAGTACATTTTTGGGCCAAAGCCTTCATATGTGTTTGGTATGTAGAAAAAGGTTGCTCGAAGTGTTCCCCTTATCCTTGGCTCTATATAGAGGAATGCCACCCGATGTGAGAATTGTGCTTGAACATGGCAGCAAGTATCTGGGTCCCTGTTCCAATTCTTGGAGGAAACAGAATACTTTCTGGGGAGTTTTGAATCCCCTGGTATATATTAGGAGTGAATGTATTTATTAGCGAGAATGTGTAGTGTGAGAGGATCAATGGCAGCGTATTGAGTACGCCATCAACACTCATTTAGGTTAGTCATATAATATGTGTAAAGGGTGATGGAAGAATATAGAGTACTCTTAACTGAGTGAATGGTATGTAAATAAGAACAATGTTAAGAATGTGTTTAGGAGTGAGTGAAAGTGTGAATGGATTTGGAACTGCATGCATTGGGTGCTGAATTGATCTAGCTCTTGACAGCACCCGGAAACCAACCTCGGTGGTGGATAAGACCAAAGTCTGACCCCACCTGAAACACATGAGATTCTCGAGCCCTGCCATTAATTCATTGTAAATTACACAAAAGATGGAATTGCTGGCGGGCTGTGAAAAGTGATAGTTTCAAATATGTACATACTTGTATAAATCATCATTATCTTTGTTTTTGTTAATTATTTTCAATAACTTTTTGTGCATAAACAATATACTTATAGCAGAGCGAAGAAGTAATTAATCAAAAATAACACGATACTTGTACTGAGGTATGACTGAATTAATTATTTCTAAGATAACTCAAGTACATTCACTTTTGTAAACAGGACAAAATAATAAACGAATGAACAAATCAATTAATTAAGTGCTCGAAAATAGTATAGATGCAATATTTAACAATCACACATACATACACATATACATATATGGTGTATGTATGGATATACCCATGAATGTTGTATATACCCATATATTTTTATATACACATTTACATAAACATATAGACACACATACATACATATGCACACATATAAATGTAATATGAAAGTGATAAGATCTGTAGTTTATTTTTAGATCACTGTCTTTTTTTAAGTGTCTTTCGTTACTTGGTGGTAGAAGATTAGTTGATATATGCTGGACATGTGTAGCTTGCCTTAACAACAGGATCAACATCCGGTATTTCCAACTCATTGTGCAGAGTAGAATTCCTGACAAACCACTGGGCTCCTGTTGCTAGCTGTAAAAATCTGTTTTGGTTGGTCTGCACTCTTTTTATATGGCTGTTTGCTGCCAAGCCCCATATTCCATAGCTGAATTGCCATACCGGCCGGATTAGAGCCAAGTAAAATGGCCTCTTAAGATATAGTAGCATTGGTGAAGTTATGGGTTTTAAGCGTAAAATTCAGGTCTGGCGTGTTTCATTATGTCATTGATATGTCCGTGCCGAGTGAGTGTACTGTCCAGAGTAAGACCTAGATAGGAGAGAGACTCCATGTTAGGGACTATTTTACCGTTTAGGGTTACCATTCGCTGGTGTACATCTCTTAAGTATGTGAAGGTGACCACTTTCAACTTCTCAGCATTCATGATTTTATTCTCCACTATTTAAACCACTAGAAGATTTGTATGGTGAAGTTTTGCAAGGGGGGGACAGCTGGTGAGTTTCTTTGGCCAATGCTTAGGAATGCAACATCATCTGCAAGTTGGGTTGTAAGTAAACTATCCAATTTAGGGAGGTTCGATGAGTACATGATACAGAAAGGGGCCTAGTATGCCTCCTTGTGGAACTCCTTCTTTTAAATCATGGTTTTTAGAGTAAGCAGTACTACTTTTCACATTGAATGTTCTTCTTTCTAAATAAGATTTTACAACTCTGAGTATGTGTCCGGAAGCAACAGCTTCATCTTCTACTTATGACTGTCATACCATACCCTATCAAAGGTCTTTTCTGTGTCTAGAAAGATTTGTTTATTCTCAAAATCATCAAGAGTACTAACAGTGATACGGTGCAATTGCTGTGGGTAAGAATGCTGAGGTCTGAAGCCAAGTATCTTACAGTTTGTGAACAAAAGGGTTACATCGAGTTACCACACCTCATTGACTGGAAGTGTGGGAGAGTTGGTGTACTTAAGAATGAGTGTTAGTGTGATTATATTAAAAACTGTATTTGTAGGGGATGAAAGTGTCCTAGCTGACTAGGTCCAGAGTGTAACTTTGGAGGATAGGTCGGACAAGACAGTCTCACACCACACAAGAGCAGGTCATTCTCACAGCATGCCACTTTTCAAGTTTAAACGACCCCTCGCTTCGAATTACACTTATCTTAACACTAAACAACTTTATAACAAAACCTCACCCTTTGATAGACATGTGCCTTGGAAGTGACAATTGTCGGGCAAAACGAAGTGACACCATGAGCTAGAATCCCTTTGGCCACTTTGTCCAATCCAGAGGGATCTTTCAATAAGTCATGAGAAAAATCCACACCGAAACCACCTAATAAAAATCATTGAAATATCAGAATTTTCAAAGGTGAGGAGGGTCTGTGTGATGGCAATTTTATTTTTTTATTCGGCTCCCTGTGATTTAAGAGATTATAAGAATCATATTCATCTACGTCAACCATCTTGACATCTTTGAAATGTACCTACGTGCAACGAATAAGGGGTTTGTCAGGTGTTTTATTTAATTTAATTAATTTATTTGTTTAATTTTGCAGCGAAAGTTGTTTTGATCTTTACCGTTTATTTGTAAGTCGATAAATCCCGGTGAGACGAGAGCGCCTTCCAGGTCGACGACCCGGTCGTAATGTTTCTTTTCCACATAGAAAAGTTTCAGAGGATCTATGACCTTGCCGTCGCGGACCCAAAGGTCTTCCCAAAAGATCTTGTGGTCTCGCAAAATTCTGCAGTTGGTGAATTTCGTGATTATGCCCATTGCAGCCATCCGAGCCTGTCAAAGAGGAGAAATGGTCAATGACACAAAACCACTTTCCCTTATCTTATCAGGGTGAAATTATTATCGGGACAACGGTACAAGCAAAATCGACCCAGTTTGCAAATTGTCGGACAACGCCTCTAGTGGAAACAAGTACTGATAGGCGTGGCGGCCTATTCGATTTGCAAAACGTTCTAATTCATCAAGAAACTTCAACAATTATAATACAACATCAAAGCTTATATTTGAAGCTAGCTTGATTATCCTGGTTCTAAAGTGTAGCTCGAAGTATATGGATGGTCTCTTTCTAACCATACTGCAGTATCACGTCCTTTATCAACCATTCAATTTCCACACACCACCATGCTCTATACAAACTATCCGTATTCCAGACACCATCTTGCTCTATTAACGCAATTTAAACCTCATCAATTCCACTACAACAATGTTTACGCTTGGAGCTAGGATATCCTGGTTACAAAGTGTTGCTGGCTGTATATGGATGGACTCTTTTTAACCATACTGCTGTATCATGTTCTTTAACAACTACACCACAAACCACCTGCGCTATTGAGGCAATTTAAACCTGATCAATTTATTTGCAACTGTCGCTGGCTGTATATGGACAGACTCTTTCTAACCGTATTGCTGTATCATGTCTTTTATCAACTATCCATCCTCCTGACACAACCTTGCTGTATTAACTCCAACATCAATGTAAACGAGCTTGATTATTAAAGTCTCCCAGGGTGTATATGGATGGATACTTTCTAGCCATATTGCTGTATCATGTCCTTTACAAACTCCCCATCCTCTGACACCATCTTGCACGATTAAGGCAATTTAATCCTCATCGAGTTTACCATAACATCAATGTATAGTAGCTTGAATATCTGGTTGTCCTTTAACAACTATCCATCTTCCCAACACCATCTGGCTCTATACAAAATATCCCCCCCCCTCGAGAAACCATATTGCAACATCATTGTTTACATTTGGAACTTGATTATCCTGGATGCAATGTGTCAGTTAGTGTACATGGACGTGCTGAAGTAGTTTATTTATAAGTGCTTCTTTTTTGTAATAAAGAATTATTAATATTTTTTTTAGGGGCATCCGACAGCTAGGTCATTTCATCCCCAAGCGGAAGTAAAATACTACAACATACACTCAATACCCAGTCACACCAATAAATACATTCACACCTATGTACATTGATCGCACACATTCTGTTTGGTAGATAGAGTACTCGATATTCCTCCATCTACCTCTTCACTACAATAAACTAATTTAATTTGGGGTCGATGGGGTTCTTTAAAAGTTTTCCGCCATAGACCCCAGTCACACATGCAACTTGAGGGGCGATGGGGATGCTATTTCACCATCACCCTCTCCTCATTCATACAGGTAAATATATTCACACCAATATACACTGATTGTAGATGGAGTGCTCGATATTCCTCCATCTACCTGTTCACTATAATAAACTAATTCAAATTGGGGTCAATGGGGTACTTGTATAAAATTTCAACCCTCAACCCAACACATACACACAACCTGAGGGGCAGTGGAGAACCTACTTCACCATCAGCCACTCCCCATTCACACCAATAAATACATTCTCTCACACAAGACCCAGAAACACAAAACACTTAATTTAATTTCTATATACAATAAAAAAATTCCCAATTCCCTTAAAAACCCTGAAACTTGCTACTGCATCCGAGAACCCCTTTTAAATCTGGTGGCAGCCTACTCGCTCCCTGTAGGGAGCCAAGGCATGACACACTTTGATTATGTCTGACACCCTTGCCTTCTGTTTTCTCAAGTTTGGTCTGGGTCGTCCCCGCTGCCACCCCTTTTTCTTCTGTACTTTTTCTGAGCATCGAAGGCTGCTGAAGAAATGTCTGACTCAGACATTGCTTCTAAGTCCGTCACCCAGTTTATACGGGGCGGACTTGATGGAGTAATAGCTTCCGGCAAAAGAGGCGGAAGCTTAGGTGGGGGCATTGTCGTCCCCGTGGAGTTTGGCTGCCTTATCAGGCTGTCCTTGACACTGTGTGCCAGGGACGTTTGTGAAGAGGATGTGATCATCCTCTTGGCACGAGTGGCATTGGCCACCATTAATTTTGGATGATGGAGGGTCTGCGTTTGGGTGCTCCCGGAATTCGGGCCCCGGGTGTGACAGTATCTCATATGAGATGCTTCGCCACCTTCCCCATGGTGCGAAGTGTCGACTGTTGGAATTATTCAACAATGAGACTCAGACTCGTACCCTGATTGTTGGCGAGAAGCACTCATTATACCGATCCTCAAGAAAGGTAGGGACCCAAGTCTGGCCACGAGTTACAGACTGATTTCGTTGACAACCTGCTTGAGTAAGATCCTGAATCCATGGTGAACAGTCAACTGACCTGACACCTTGAGACAAAGGGATTTTACAGCCAGTATCAGGTGGGATTCCATAGTCATCGCTCCACAATGGATCATGCTTGCCAGCTTGAGGGAGATGCTCAGAATACATTCTTGAACAGAGAATACGCTTGGGCCTTGTTTTTTGACTTCGAGAAGGCGTATGATACTACGTAGAGATACACGATACTGGGGAAATGTCACAATTTTGGACTGAGAGGTAAACTGCCATGGTTTATCCAAGGTTTCCTGGAGAACCGTAGGTTTCGAGTCAGACTGGGAAACGTTCTTTCCTGGGATTACATTCAGGAGAACGGTATCGCTGATGGCGTCCCTCCGCAGATAAAGAGAATGCTCTTTGTCGACGACCTCTGCTTCTACCATTCAGGTAATCTGGATCTGGTGGAGGTCGGCGGTAGGATGCAATTGGCGATAGACGTAGTGGCTGCGAGATTTGAGGAAACTGGATTTGCCTTCTCAACGTTGAAAATTGTGTATGTCCACTTCTGCAGATTGAGGAGGGTGCATAGTCCCCCTCAACTCTGTCTGAAGGGGCGTACCAGTACAGTGCGTTGAAACGGTGAAGTTCCTCGGTCTCCTATTTGATGAGAAATTGAGAGGCAGCCACACATCGACACCACTGTGGTCAAGGGCAGGGAAACCCTCGCACTGCTAAAGTTTGTTGGACACATTAGGTGGGGAGCGGATAGGAAGACCTTACTAAAAATTTTGACTCGCTGTTTTGGTCAAAGATCTTTTATGGTTGTAAAATGCGACTGAGAAAGCTTGATAGGCTCTGTGTGATCAGGACCTGAGAGCAATCTTGTGAGTGTTCAGGACCAGCCCCTTGGTCAGCCTGCGAACTGGGGAGGGAACAATTGATAATCGGCTGGGTTCCTGGCTAAGCCGGCATCCTCTGGTTGGAACAATCCTTCAATGCCTGTACAGAGAAATCTATGACTTGCTTTGTTCGCGGACATGACCCCTCTGGATTCGCTTCGGTGAAGCCCTAGGGAGGGCTGGACTGGCCCTGGGGACGGTGCTCTGTCTGGGTGGCAGACAAACACCAACCTGAACTCTTCTGGCCGTACTGATCCGTGACCATCTGTTGAAGTTGCCCAAATCATGTACACCGCCATACCTCTACAAGGCTATGTTTTATGAACTTAAAAACCGATACACCTGTTTTCGTCTCGTTTTTACAGATGGGTTGAGGACCGGCAATGGCGTGGCGTGAGATGTTTACAGCAAGGGGAGGCCAAGTTTTGGTCGTTGCCTCCTCATTGCAGCGTATACAAGCAGAATTGTACACGATTTGGTACACTCTTGAGGCAGTGCGGACCGAGGAATGTTCAGCCTTCCTCATGTGTACTGACTCTCTGAGCGTTGTTTGGGCTCTGTGTGATGGATTCTCGGTGGACCCTCTCGTCGTGCTCTTATTAGAAAGATATGCCAAACTTGAGCGCCTCGGAAAGATAGTGGTTGTTGTCTGGGTCCCTAGACACATTGCCCTGGAGGGTGACGAGCCATGATTCAGTGGCGAAAGCCTGAACGCTCACCCTCCCGACCAGCCCATCGAGATCAAGCCCTCTGATGCTAAACGAGCTGTAGAAAAGAAGATAGGGGATAAATGGCAGCGTCAGTGGACAGGGTCATCCGAGAGGCTCCTTCATGTTAAGAGCACGACCTGCAAATGGCCCCCTGAGGATCTGAGCCGTAAAGAAGGAATAGTTCTTGCCAGGTTAAGAATAGGTCATATCCGGTTGACATATGGGCACTTGCTAGTGGGCCAATCCTTATGCAGTGAAAGGTTGCTCAATGTGTCCCACATAATCGAAGCGTGTCGTGCCTTGGCTCCGTACAGGGCGCGAGTAGGCTGCCACCAGATTTAAAAGGGGTTCTCGGACGCAGTAGCAAGTTTCAGGGTCCCTTGTCCACTTTTTAAGGGAATTGGGAATTTTTTATTGTATATAGAAATTAAATTAAGTGTTTTGTGTTTCTGGGTCTTGTGTGAGAGAATGTTTTTATTGGTGTGAATGGGGAGGGGCTGATGGTGGAGTAGGTTCTCCACTGCCCCTCAGGTTGTGTGCATGTCTTGGGGGTGGAAATTTTATACAAGTACCCCATTGACCCCAATTTAAATTAGTTTATTATAGTGAACAGGTAGATGGAGGAATATCGAGTACTCTATCTACCAAACAGAATGAGTGCGATCAATGTGCATAGGTGTGAATTTATTTATTGGTGTGACTGTATTGAGTGTGTGTTGCAGTATTTTACTTCTGCATGGGGCTGAAATGACCTAGCTGTTGGATGGTCCTACAAAAAAAAATTTATTTATCTTTTACAGAAAACATTTTAGTTTATATTAAATTTTATAAGAGTGAGGACCTGTGAAATTAAATATGTCCAAACTAGATTTTCATCAAATGTATTTGTACAAATCTAAATTAGGGTGACGTGTGGCCCAAATCTTGCATATCACAAGTAAAGTTTGGGGGGAGAGAAGCATTCGTGAATGCATGGTGCAGAGAGGGATTTTGTTTGAAGATTTTGAACTCGAACACAGGGAAGATATGCCTTCCGTTGTGGACGACGACCACCTCAAAATGTTGATTGAAGAAAATTTACATAAGACAACAGGGGGAATTGTGGAAAAGCTTAGTGTTGACCATTCAACCGTTGTTCACCATTTGGAGCAAATTGGTAAAGAAGCTTGACAGGTGGGTACCACATTAACTAACTGAAGCCCAAAGAAATCAATTCTTCCGTTGTGCCACCAAAATGATCCATTTCTCGATTGAAACATCACATGTGATAAGAAATGGATTCTGTACATTAACAGTACGCATACAGGTCAGTGGTTGGACGAGGATGAAGCGCCAAAATCCTTCCCCAAACCAAATACTCGCCCAAAAAAGATCATGGCGACTGGTGGTATAGAGCTAGGGTTGGTCACTATAATTTCCTGAATTATGGTGAAATTATCACAGCAGAGAAATATTGCTAAGAAATTGACAAAATGATCGGGAAACTGCAATGTATTTTGTTCAGCATTAGTAAACCTTAAGGAACCAATTCTTATTCACGACAATGCCAGGCGCATATCTCAATGCCAATGCTGCGGAAGGACTAAGAAAATGAAACCTTACTGCACCCTCCATATTCACCCGAACTTTCACCTATAGACTTCCATATTTTTAGGCATTTTGATCGCTTCTCAAGGGATGAAATTTTTTTTTTAGTGAAGCTGAAAACGCCTTCCAAGACTTTAGTGTGAGTCAAAATAAAGATTTTTATGTCAGCAGAATAAAAGCGCTTATTTCACGTTGGTGAAGATGTATAGATTCTAATGGAAAATATTTCCAATAATTTTTTAATTTATTTTATAAATATTAAAAATAGTTCTGACTGCGTTGTCAAAATTTGCAATATTTTTCATCAGCCAAATATATTTGAAAGTCAATATTATATATTCAGGTACTTGTCCATTTAAGATATTTTCCCTGAATATGGCAAAAATATCTCATCATCCTTTTTCTCTGTTTATTCAAATATTGCTTCTTCATTAATTTATATAAATCGTTGAGGAATTGTTGAGATTGCAATGTACAAAACATTTTTGAATGTTAATAAGACATTTATTTACAAGATATGAGATTTATAAATTCAAATTAATGGGAACAGATTCTTCCCAATTTTTGATGTGCCAACTAACGATAATGCAATTAATAACATAGATATATAAAATAAACAAACTTCAAAATGACACTGTTTAATGTATCTTGATAGTCATATAATTTTATTATATTTTAAACATATATATTTTGAATAATTACACATAAATGAATTTGTGCTTTTTATATTTTACATCAGTTAACAAAATAATTCAAAGCTGTTCTGACAGATGAACTAAATGAAACAAGATAATAAAAACAACTATCATTAAATATAATTTATACTGACGTAAGCCAATTAAATATTGAGGAAATTAACAAATTTTGATTTTTTCTGTAAATTAAACTGAATCCACACTATTTCTCAAGAATATATAAATAGATATATCAAACAAAACTTTGAATTTACACTTTCAAACGACCATTACAATAAACCTTAAATAATAAATATCAAGTTGACTTTGGTAATGAAAATAAAATAAAATATTTAAAATGAACAAGGTATAAGAAAAAAAAATTAAAGTACATTAAATCAATTTTACAATTATACGTATTTTAAAACAATGAATGCACCAATTTTAATTGAAATTTGCTACATTCATTACACATTCCTCCAAAGCAGCACTCTTGAAATTTGTCTCGAACTGTGCTCATAAATAGTTAGATATTCTGAATGCCATACACGAGAGATCAAAATATATCACGAATTAATGTGTTCCAATAAACGTCACATTTATTTTTTCAAAATGAAAAATAAATATATATTATTCATCCAATGTTTAATAATTCCTCACAAAACATTGTAGGACTAGTTTTAAAAGCAGTAGAATACAAGCTAACCAATTTCTAACTTTATTAGAGAAATGAGACTACACACGTTCAAAATATATAAACAAAATTATACAGTTCGTTAGGATTTTTTTTTTTTTTTTTAGTCAGCATATTGGCAGCGAGCCAGCAAGCTTGAGGATTATGATAGAACATTTTGATTTGTTCAGTTTGTAAGGCACTTTAAAACATGTCATGATCTTTCTTTTTCTAATATGCTAAATATTAAACTTTTTGAAGGAAAAAGTATTACAAAAATCAAATAAATTGAGAAATAAATCTAGTTGAGGCATTTACAGCATTAATTTTGAAATAAATTATATGTTAGTCACAATTATTCTTTTTCAAGATAAATTGTGTATTTATATCTGCCACACAGTACAAAGGAAAAAATGTGAATTGAATAACAGTATTTATCTGTATTGTGTGATTAAATGGAGATAAAAATAATAATGAAAAAATAAAAGAAAAACTAGACCTAAAATTTAACAGTAATTTTAAACTACAAGGCTGTCAATAATAGACAAAAAAAAGTTAATTTCAATTTTTTTCTGCATCCAGTGAAATATTTATTTAAAGAATGATTGCAAATTAATATCATAATTAAAAAATTAATATAAAACATAATAAAATAAAAATATTTATCACAGTTTCTGGACATACCCACTGCCTTATATAATCCACACAATTAAAACAAAATTAACTTTTGTAAATTTTTAATAATATATGACGTTATACATAAGAAAACTGTGCCATACAGATGTAAAACTGATTTTTTTAATCCCAAAACAATAATATCCTGTACTAGAATTTAATTAATCTTAATTTTCAGCCAATATAAAAATACAGGTTTTCTGTAATTCAAACAATATTTACATCATATTTAGTGAACATATGCCAAACAAAATAACCTTTATNTAATGTATGTATGTATAAGTATATACAAATACTTATATTGGTTTGGTATCACTTTGATCACTTACAGATTAACAATTAACTATCAAAAATACAGTTTGACCTGGGATATACAGTATATTTACAGCCCTGAAGTCAAATACTCCATAAATTAAATTCCTTTTTAATACAAAAGTTTATTCATATATAGTAGCAATATTTCTGATGGAAACAACATACAAGTTTAAAAATACAGTTTTTACAAAACAGACCTACAATTTTAAGACTTTGCAACGATTAAATCACTAATTAAATAGTGCTTCATCGTTAAGTTGAGATGTAGACTTGACTTTTCTCATTTCAGGTTTAATCATCTTCTTTCTTCTCAGGTTTTAATTCTACTATTGCATGCATCTCTTCTGGGCTATACCTGAAAAAAAAAAACATGAAAAAACAGATAAAATATGAATTTATAAATTATTCTCTCATAAAAATTAACAATAGCATGTCTGTGATTTATATGTCAGATTTTGAAAGAGTAATTTGGTTTATATGCAACATATCGAGTTGTGCAATAAGTCAGCAGCAAATTTCAAGTCCTTGTAAAACAAATTTAATCCACAATATATGAACAATTTTGTTCCACTACTTGTTGCCATTTTCCATGTAATTTTGTCCTCCCAGAATTTTTCAGGTTTACTAGCCAACATTCATTTCAATGTTGTATTGCGTGTAAACATTAATGGTTTATGGGGTTACTCAATGCCAACTGAGTACCTTAAAATTGGACACATGTGTAAAAATAGTTAAGTTGTGTGAAAAGAATAATGTGCCAGGAGTGATATTGAAATATGCAATTGTTTTTGGGATCAGTGGTCCAAAAGTCACAAGTTTTGCACTACTGCCAAGCTTTCTGCATTTATTATCTTTCTTCACGGATCAACTTGAAACTTGTTGACTTTTGAACCACATCCCTGATTCCACCCAAAAAAGAGTAATGTAGTAACTTTTTTAAATCAGAAGGAGGAATTGTTAAAAAGACCGTGGTCAGCGTATTGGACTTTTGGGTAGGAGGTCCCACGGTCATAGGTTTGATCCCCACCGTTGCCTCTGGATTTTTCTGAGGCATAAGGGAAGCGGTGGCCGCAATGAAAGTTGACATAACATTCATCAATGGAAGATCTGGCAGGATCAGGTCTCACAGACCCTGAATTCAATCCTGACCCCTTTTGAAAATTAGTTTCTTCAATGGAAGAACACTGGCACACCTGGGGGCTTAATTTACATACACGTTGTGAGCTCACAAAATGGAACCAAAAAAGAGCAATAAGCTGTAAAAGCAATGCTCAGGGAGAACTCCAGTTCTTGGTATCCATAATCAACAAATAAAGTTTATATATATATATATATATATATATATATAGTTTTTAAAGACTAATTGAAGTTATTACACTATTAGTGTAAGTTGAAAAAATCCAACAGCCAGTAGTGTTTGTTGGAATGTAAATTTGAATTGTTATGAAAAAGGTGGAACATGCGCACTAACACTTGTTCTCAAACAATGTTAGGTACTTGTAGACCTGTAGTCAAGTAGATGTTTCAGAATTCAGACTGTAAAAATAATGTAATGTCATTTTTGAGGATGAAATCCCTGCATTAAAAACTAAAAATACATATGATGAGGTCACCATCACAAAAGGAGCGGAAAAAATATCAGAAAATTCTAGACGTGTGTGTGAGACTGAAGGGAGACAACGAAAGTCTTAATGCTACTAACAGCACAGTAGATATGAACACAGAATTTGAAAAAGACAACCTTTTAAGTGATCAGTCGGACAATGAGACAACTGAAGATGCAAACACAAATAAAACTCTACAAAGACGAAGAAGTGACTCTACACCGAGGAAGACGAATTAGACGACCACCTAACTACTAAATTATATGCTACCATGAAGCTATAAATGGTCCTGATGCAGAAAATTGTAAAACGGCCATAGAAAGTGAGAAATCATCTATAGACAAAAACAAAGTCTTCAAGCTTTTGCCTACCAACAAAGTGAAACTTATCAGCAGCAGATGGGTTTTCAAGCAAAAAGAAAATGGTCAATTTAAAACACGATTAGTTGCTCTTGGATGTGAACAACGTGAAGGAGATTTTTATGACACCTTCAGTCCTGTTGTGAATACCAATACACTTCGTTTTTTACTAGCCTATGTGAGAGTTACTGATAAAATAATAATGAGTTTTGATGTTGCCAGTGCTTTTCTACATGGTAACCTATCAGATATACATGAAACTTCCAGAAGGATATGAAGATGAAAAAGGCAATGTATGTTTACTTCAAAAATCATTGTATGGGCCTAAACAAGCTCCTATAAACTGGAATAGACGATTTGTTGATTTTTTAAAAGAAGAATGGTCTAAATCAGCTCTTGACAGACCGATCCGTATTCAAAAAACAATGATAACTCATTAATTTTGGCAATCCATGTTGACGACGGGCTTGTAATTGGAAAAAAATCATAAAATCATGAATGAATTTTCTTTTAAAACTCAGAAATGAATTCGATGTAACATTTGAAAAAGAGCCCAAAGCTTATATTTGGAATTGAAAAATGAGCCAGAAAAAATGTTTCTGCATCAACAAAATTACATAGACAAAATTTTCATTGAATTTAATATAAACTTGTCAAAAAGAGAAAGAACTCCATCTACACCTGGCTGCGAACATGAAAACTCAAAACCTGACAGAGATTACCCACATCGTGAAGCTGTAGGAAGGTCTTCTCTATCTTTCAAATTGTACCAGTCCTGACATAACTTTTGCTGTAAATACTGCTTCTAGCAGAGAAGAAAATCCAAATGAAGGAGATGTTTTGAAGGTAAAAAGAATTTTCAGATACCTTCAAGGCACCATAGACATCAAAATAAAATATTCACCTAGACAAGATTATCTACAACTGGATGCTTATTGTGATTCAGACTATGCAAATGATTCAAAATCTCATCGAAGCACTAGTGGGTTCATAATACTCTACTGTGGTGGAGCTGTCTCATGGTCAACTAGACGTCAACCAGTTGTTTCAACCAGCACTGCAGAAGCTGAATTTATTAGTGCCAGTGAATGTGTTAAAGATGTGCTTTTTCTTAAATCTCTGTTCAAAGAGCTCACTAATCAAAATCTAATTGTAAATTTATACATAGATAATTTAAATACGATCAATATGATCAAAAATGGTTGCGATGCTAAACGATCCCAAACATATTGATGTTAGATTTAAGTTTATTCTTGAGAAAGTCAATGAGAATAATTTTGCTTTAAAACATTGTCCAACTTAGTAGTAGAAGTACAATTAGCAGATGCTTTTACTAAATCTTGTCTCCTGCTAACTTTGAAAAATTAAGAAGAAAATTTTTGTTTTAAAATGTTTTGTTTAATATGTTAAAACACTCTATTAGAAATATTTGTTTAATTATTTGTAGATTCAAATTTAAGGGGAAATGTTGGAATGTAAATTTGAATTGTTATGAAAAAGGCGGAACATGCGCACTAACGCTTGTTCTCGTACAATGCTATATACTTGTAAAACCTGTAGTCAAGTAGACATTTCAGAATTCAAACTGTAAAAATTAATAGCTATTATAAACCACCTTTTCTTTTATTTCTTTATCCTACAGTGTTAACAATCAAAATAAGCAATGAAATGAATAAGTTTGAACTTACCCAAGAAGATTTTGGAGATCACAAACAAAGCGGTAGACGTATCTCTTGCCTGCAGTTTTGTGAATGATATTTTTGTCGTAATAGTAACGTAGGCCTCTACTGAGCTTTTCGTAATTCATTTTTGGCTTGTTTTTCCTGACACCCCATCGTCGAGCAACTTCGTCAGGGTCGGTAAGCTTGAATTCCCACCCGTCCCCTGTCCAAGAGATGAAGCTTTGGCAAGACTTATCTGTTAGCAATTCCAACAAGAACTGCCACAGTTGAATTGGCCCTGAGCCAGTGAAGCACGGTCCAACACCTTAAAGATTTAAATTTGAATTGAACTGTTACACAAGTTTACTACTTGATTTTTTTAAAAGTGAAATGCAATGTACCTGAATATCCTGGATGTATTGCTGGTTGAAGAAAAGCTTTGGAGTCGGGGTTTGTCGAGGGGTGATGAGACAAAAATGCCGGGTGTGGCAATTGGGATCCAATATCTCCTGCCCAATCCGAACCAGACCCTCCGCCACCGGCTGAGCTAGGTACTGTCTGGAACTGAGTAGTCTCATACGAAGAGTATGACTCATTGTAGCCATCATGCTGAGGATATCTTCCTGTTGACGAAACGGCAATATTTAAAGTTAAAATTCATCATTAAAAAAAATAGTATTCCATCATATGATGGTTGCTCTTATCAGCAATCCCATCTATGATGTAAAAAAAATACACATGTATGAGTAACATTATGTGTAATTGATAGTAGAAAAATATGTAATGAAAGCTTATCTGCTTGTTTTAATAAATATTTAAACCAAGTGCTATTATTATGATTGAACGTTGTTCATCAAACTGTGAAAACTATTCATTCAATCAAAACTGCTTAATGTCTATGGAATCTTCCATGCATATAGATTAATTATTTATTTCTATAAATGGAAGGTGTTATGTAAAACGAAATTAGAACAGATAATAGCGTTGTATACAACATGAAACATCTCACTGATTTCACACTATCAACAGAAGATTGAGTGAAGGGGATAAAGTTGTTAATTTGATGATGACGAGTTTTGTCGTTTGACTATTTATACGCAGTTTATTGGATTTGTATTTTAAACAATTCAATTGGAGGCAGTCATGCAGTTTGAAATTTTTTAATAATAAAATGTCATTACAATTTAAAAAATAATGTAAAAGACGAAAATAAAATAAAATATGTAATAATTTTGTGCACTTTTTGTTTCTTAACCCTATCTTTTTTATATAGAACGACAAATAATAAATAATCGTGGCAGCCTTAAGAAAATGGCCGTCGATCTGGACAATGAACCTTTGATTCTAAGCAAAAGCCGACCACGGGAAAAACTGCCGAAAACATCTGAACTAAAGAAAGGAAATTCGACCAAAACCGTTGTGGATCAATTCTGCATTTTGTTTGACACCTACTTTCTTTTTATTAACAAATAGCTTTTCACCGCAGAAGTGCAGAGGTTGAAATGTATACTGATTAACAGGCGCTTAACGAGTGCCGTCAAATTGAAAGAACCATAAATGATTAATGATTTATGGATAAAAAATAGTCAAAATGGTTTGAATGTTCTTTTTACTATCCTCTTTGAAAAAAAAATCTTTTTAAAGTTTACAAGCACTGTCAGCGGTATAACGTAAATCCAAAATTACGAGAAAGAACTGGACAATTAGAAGAATTCCATTCAAAATAAATATAAATAAATAAAGTTCCAGGTTTGTAGACAAAACTGAGAAACCTCAGACAGGCGATTAACTCATAACAAAAACAAAACATTCCATTTATTTTCCAAGTAATTCTATAGAAGGTAAATTTAAAGGGCCAGTAGAAGAAAAAAACACAGGTTTGTTTATCAATTAAGAGGGCTTTGTCAGCTAGTTTGAGACTTGCACAGATAAAAAATAATAAACCAATAATGGACAACAATAACTATTGAATTGTGAGTGTGACTTTGTTTTTCTTTATTTATAATTTTTTGCCTGGCAATTTTACGAAAGTCTTAAGATTTCATAAAGATTCACGTTTTGTACTTAGAAATTAACAATTAATTAAGGTTTTTAGTTGAGATAAAAAAGTCAATGGCACGAGCGGGACTTTTTTTATCTCAACTAAAAACCTTAATTAATTGTAATATATTAATTGGTCAAGCGGACCACGAAATTAGTGAATTTGGAAATTAACATTATTTATTTGTGAGGGCCTGAATTTAGCAAATTGCAGTAATTTTTTTTTCTTATAAGTTAACTATGAATCTTCGTTGGCCGGCTTGCGAACTGGAGAACTGCATAGCACCGTAGACCAGAGTCTACGAAACTATGGACTTGACTTAATATTACTTAAATGTGTTTACAACAATAAAACGTGGCCAGGATTTTGTCCATCCTTTGTAAACTGTTCAAGAAATGCATGCCGACTGGTAAAGCTTTATCCCGCTAAAATAACCATTTTTCATTTCGAATTCCTTTTTAACTTTAGATCAACCCATTTTAATTTGAAATTAACCCTTTGTAATTTGGAATGAACCCTTTTCGCACCTGATTTTACTTTGAAATTAACCTTTCTCGCACCAAAATAACCCTTTTTAACTTCAAATCAGCCCATTTTAATTTGAAATTAACCCTTTTTAATTTCAAATCAACTCTTTTTAATTTGACCTTAACCCTTTGTAATTTGGAATGAACCCTTTTCGCACCTGATTTTACTTTGTAATTAACCTTTCTCGCACCAAAATAACCCTTTTTAACTTCAAATCAGCCCTTTTTAATTTGAATATAACCCTTTTTAATTTCCAATCAACCTTTTCTTTATGAACTTTTATCGCACAAAATTAGCTTTTTTAACGATACATCAACCATTTTCATTTGATATTAACAGTTCTCGGGCCACAATAACCCTCTTTAATTTCAAATGAACCCTTTTAACTTCAGATCAACACGTTTTAATTTAAATTTAACCCTTCTCTAATTTTTAATCAAACATTTTTTAACTTAAAATTAACCTTTCTAGCAAAACAAAGTAACCCTCTTTAACTTCAAATCAATTCTTTTTAATTTGAATTTAACTCTTTTCGCACCAAACTACCTTTTTAATTTCTAACTCGCCCTTTCTTTAAAGCATTAAAAATAAAATTCCTGTATATTTAAATTTTTTTGTAATATAATATACTGGGCTTTTTAGAATCAACGCTCTTCTACCAAACAAAATCGCTAAAATCCTTATTAAAATAATTTACGACAACATTAAAAACGGCATAAAGTTAAATATTAAAAAGAAACCAAATGAGTATTCTCAGTCGTTTGACCAGAGACTAAGTAACTACAGACTTGTGTACTAATTACTTAATATTTCTTAAAATGTATTTAAAAGAAATCGAATTATTCAAAAATGGTGATAAATCTGACAATGTTGATACAATCCAGGTCTTCATGTCATTGGCATCTTTAAAATACGACTGGGATTTTTTTTGAAAATTTGACCCTTCGCTTTGAGTTTTTGTCGTAAATTCGCCTTGAATTCTTTTGAACTGGATCGAATTATTTGTGTCTATTTGGAAGAGAGGTGAGCTCAAACCGACCAACTGTGGTACGCACCCAAGCGAAAATTAAAAATGGCGTCTCAAGAAGGAAGATGGCGACGAACAAAGAAATTCCCACACAGTTCACCACATTGACCTTAGCCAGCGCTTATGACCTCTCTTATAATGCAATGAGGTAAATGTAACTCTCTTTATTCATTTAATATTTATAATGAACACTTTCTAACAATAGTTTACTAATGGATTTCACTTTCCGTCTCAAATTTTATTCGGGCTGTCTTCCCAATTACCAATGACTTATCGGTTACTTAGTTTTCGACTGTTTCATTAAGCAACCGTGCATCATTTATTTTTATTGCAGTACCAGGTTAAATTTTACTGCAATTAATAATTTTTTACTATTTTTTTTCATAATATATTCAAGACAAAGGAAATAGGATTATCCTTGAATATACGTTTTTTTAAAGATATACAATTTAACCAAGGTCAACAGGGGTAAACTGTGTTTTATTTTTAAATTAATGCTGTTTCGATTATGTGAGGATGGAAATTTCCTCTTGTACTGGCGAAATGCGATTCAACAACACCGATCGCTCACAGACGATGTATGTAGGGACAGGGAAAGGAACAAAAGAGGCGGCCACAAGGCCTTCTGCACCTCGACTTGAGATATATTGTGCTTCTCTAATTTTATAATAAGCTTCAGGTTTGTTATAATCAGCCTCCATCTGGTACTTGTAAAGTACATAGTAGCAGAACGCGAGGAATTATTTTATTATTACTTTTTTATTGCCAATTGAGGCATACAAAGGAAGTTGGTAAAACAGAACATAATATGTAAATAAAGTAAACATAAAATATGACATAGGAATAAGAGCAACATTATATTGAAATTATATTAATATACAGAACGTAAAAATGTCATTTATGTTGTTTTTCAAGTCATCAGAATGTTAATTATAATACTAATATTACGTTTTCTAGGTCCGAATGCTAGAAATATTTTCATAAATATTTTGCTCTAAAAGAAATCAAGAAAGGGCAGTTAAAAAAAAGTGTTTTACGTCATTACGAGCCCGAGAGGTATATAAAGTACACACCTTATCCGAATTGAAATAAAATTACTACTCTTAACAATAAATACTGCGCATATTTTTGTTAGTTAAACGAGCTGTTCAATAAGTCTTCATTTCTTAATATCGAAATTTGGCTCATTCTAATTAAATTTACGTATAGAACGATAATATGTACTATACCGACTATACAAGACAGACTCTACATCTAGAGTGATAATATTATTTTTAATTTCATTATATTTAGTGGTCTGATTGACCAAATCACTTATTTCAATTAATTGTTCTTTTTTTATGTAAGGTCTTGGTTGAAAGGAAAAGTTAAGTGTCACGAGCGGGATTCGAACCCACGACCTTCGGCTGTAGGATTTATTGGAGTGAAGAGAGGGTGTCAAGGTAAAATGCCTTACCGGGATTCGAACTGTAGGCTTGGGCTGTACATAATTTTAGTGTAACTGTAAGAGTGGGGTTTTAACAATATATAGTAGTATATCAAGAACTCTTAGCACCCAAATTAGGTTAGTTTAGGTTAGATAATTTTTTAATTTTTAACATCAAAGATAGTGGTAATAAAATAAATGCGAGGTAGACAAAACGTGAGGAGCCGGACGAAAAAAAAAACAACGATCGACAGACAAAACTAGCGAGACTGGGCAGACTAGGATGATCCGAGACGAACAAAAAACGGTATTTAAATTTAAAAATTGAAAAAAAAAATAAATAAATAAAACATCACTTTAGTCAGCCTATTCTAGCCGGTTTTGTTGTCAGATTTGTTTCGGTGTCTTGCCGTCTTAAATGGTTGCTCGATGTGTAAAATGTGACAAAATAATGCACAGAAAATGGTCAAACCATTCGATGTATAAGATCCAATTCAAATTGAAATCGTTGAAATGAAATGCAAAGGATGGGAAATTTAGTTATATATTAAAGTTTTCTACGTGACAAAAAATCTCTCGTGAATTTCATAAATTTCTTTTGTATTTCCATATTATCAGTCGGAAGCTCTGCCTCTCTGTCACACTATCATTCTGTATTAAAATTGATTTGATTTCAAGCCTGACACACGCGAGCATATCTTATGTCAAGATTGAAATCAGTAAATAATTACATCGGGCTTTTAACGCAAAGTGTGATAAGAAAACGAAGTAGACGAGTCAAAATGATCTACTCGGATAAACGCTAAGTTTAAATGAAGGCGTGACAAATTTCACATCCTTGATTACCACTTTAGAAAGAGCAAATGCTTAAGTAACAACGATGCCCTTCGAACTGACGCTATTTGAAGCTAAAAGTTTTAAGTTGTAGTAAATGTTAAATGCTTACCTCTGATATAACTCTTTGGGTACTGCGGTTGAAATTTATGTTCAAGCACTTGGTGCGTGGCGGTCGGCGAATAGAATTCCGGAGAGCTTGATTCGAGGTAGGGTGGCGGTTGATGCGTCGTGTCCAGGGTCTGGTATTCGGAGGTGTCGTGAGGCGTAGGTGCCGTCGGAGGGTATCCTCCTCCTTCGTCGCCCCCTCCTGAGCCCTCACCCAGTTGGCTGTAACCGTCTGCCAAAAAAAAGACGTAAATGTACGTGTAACTGAGTAGGAAAACAACAGTAATTTTGAGATTACATACTTTGTTTTATATGGTAGATGGGTGGTTGGGTCCTAAGCTGCAAAAAGGCCGGAGGGGCTTGCGAGGTGGGCGGTGGGCTGCCATCCTTGGTTCCCTCGGGACACAGCGGACTCCTCAGCTGGTTGTAACCACCTGTCGAAAATTGGCGAACGTGAATAAATTTACAATTAGAACGGGCAAGGTGGGCTACGAGGCGTTGGAGATGACCACCTCGGCAATTACACTTTACCGGCCTTGGGGTTGACTCACAATCAGTCTTATTGAAAGATTGTCTGTGTCAATGAAACAACGTCCCAACTGCCCTGGCGACGTCTAGCGACGCGGCTACGACGAAGCCAATTGGCACGAGAAGTCATATACACGGTGTAAATTAAGGACAAGCGCGAATCTTCCAAAAACCAGCCTAGTGCTATAAATTGTAGACCTATACTATACTAGTTTCATAAACATCAACGATATCAACATTCAAAACGCTGGAACACTAAAAATAACAAAACTTTTAACCCTATAATCTGTAATTTATTGAACGAGAATTAATCAACTTCCTTAATTTTTAGGTAATAAGAAATTTTAAATCTGTAAATTTCCAACTTGAAGAAATGCACATTTCTACAAGACCGCAATTAACACATTTTAAATCCCGTTGATTGTGTTCGCATGGTAAAAGGAAACTGCTTAACCATAGAAATAATGAATGATGGAGTGAGTGCGGTGTTCAATCCTTTTTTTAAAAAAGATAGTTCCTAATCACAGTAAGTTGTTTTCCAACGATCCGGATTTCGAGCCCTTAGCCCATCGTCAGGTTGAAGGATTTCTACAACCACGTCTCTCGACATGAATTGCAAAAATGAATCCGCCGATACCCCCGCCAACGCGACGTTCCAATGAGAAGCTGGTTTTTTAATAGCGCTCAATTTGAACGTGCGAAAAGCGGGAATTATAACTGAAGTAAATATTATAATAGCAAATACTGTAAGAAATTAATTATTAATAAGTGATTAAAGATAAAAGATAAAAAAATAGAAAAATACCTTAATATTACTAAATTATTATAATAATGCTTAACCATTTCCTTCTTATACGGTTTCTAGGCCATGTTCGAATCGAGCCTGACTAACGGCTGTGCGATGGCTTAAATGTCGCAAGGAAAACGAATAACAAAACCAAAACTCAATTACTTGATTTCATTTCGAAAAAATGTGTATAATTAATTGAGTCTATGTATAATTAAGAATAACATAATAAAAATAATAAAAGTGGATATTAACCTTGAATCACACCTGTGGATCGTACAGTCTCGCGGTACAATCGTTAATTTTTTTTTTTTTTTTTTTTACTGGGGCTTCCGACATCTGGGTCATTTCAGCCCCAAACTAAGTCAAGTCAATATTCTATTTACACTTCTATTTACAAACACTACATTCATACAGATAAATACATTCATACACATAAATACATCCATACAATACACACATTCCGTNCTGAAATGGTTGAGAATCGGACCATGGACAATATGAACTTTTTTGTTCATTTTAGGGTGAAGAATCTACTGGAGAAGTTTGTAGCACGAGTAGCAATTCACCCTGTATAGTTATTTCAATATTTTTTAAATTATTTTATGAATAATATTTTTCTCTTTCATTCGTAAATTAGGCTATTAATTAGGCCCTTTAAAGGTTACAAATTAGGCATTTGTAAATATTCGTTCTATACAGAGTGTACCTTGAATAGACGTCAATATTTCAGGAAGTTCCTAATTCCTAAAGAACAACTTATTTAATGAAATGTTAATCCTTTCGTAAATTCGTTTACTCCACTGGAAAGAGCATTGGAAACCCTATTAGGTTCATTTTTATTGAACCTTAAGGGAAAGAAATACAAAATCGCTCAGAAGATAATCTTTTACGAGTAAACTAAAGCTCTTGTCTAAAGTTCAAGTAAGATTTTCATACTTCTGTAAACACTGACTTAACTGTAAATACAGTTATTATCAATGTAAAATTAATGTTTAATGGCTAAAAATTTTATTTTTCGATGAAAAAACATTAAAAAATAGTCATTAATATTTTAAAACTTCTCTTAAAAATAATAAAATTAGTAAAAACTAAACAAGAAAAGTTTGGTGTATCTTTCAGTATTCACATAACTAAAACAATTTGAATTTGTATCTTTCAGTATTCACAGAACTAAAACAATTTGAATTATACTAAGACAAAACCACCTGAACTTCCTTTCCAGAATGGCGGAGTCAGGTAGGCGATTGGTTTAAAGGGCCAGACAATGCCGAGGCGGTACAAAAGAGTATCGGCCCGACCCATGGCCCCCTGGGATGAACCATCGTCCCGATAGAAATACACAAAACAGAAAAAAAGGGAGGCGCAAGCGCTGGAGAACTCCAATGGAAAGCCTTCTCCAGCCCCTTCCACGCAAACCGTCGATCACACCTTTCCCAGCCCACTGAGATCGTCCTACCAATTGCACCATTCCAAATTCATCAAAAGCTTTACATCCTTTGAACTATTTTTATCCTTCATTTTCAACTTTAATGTTTAATCAAGGCGCTTATTTTATCCAAGAACGATTAATTTATGTTTCAAATATTTTTTTTTTAATCAAGCAGTCTTCAGATTTAGTTTTTAGTCAGTTTTTAACAGTAAAAACAAACAGTTTTTAACCCTTCATGGTCAATGTTTCCTAAGAGCAAGAGGAACTTTTTAGCAATTTTGTTCAAAGATTAGCGGGAAATCCTGTCAGTTTAGTTACAAAGAGTTTAGATTGGCGACAAATAAATAAATGTCGACAATACATGGGCAATAACAGAGCAGAAACAATACTACGCTCTAAAGTCTAAACTCACGGGACCTTTCAAAAAATTTGCTAAATTTGGTGTAATTCGGAGGCAACGTTGGGGAAGAAAGGGTTAAAACAGCTAACTAGTTACAGATTATAATACGACGAACAGACTGAAGATGGCAAAAAGCCGAAAACTCAGAGAGGATAGACCAAAAATGATCGATAACCACCTAATTACAGGTTCACCTCGCAGATCACAAGGCGAAATGGTTTTCCAATGAAAGAAGCTTCTTAAGAAAAACATCCAAAATAAATAAAAATTTATTACATTTTGGCAGATGGTACATAGTTAGTTACGGATTACTCCTTCATACGCATTCTTACACTTTTAAAAAATATTTTCTATTTCTAAGATATACTAATTAAATTTGATAGTAGAAAGAAAGTTAAGCAGCCTGGGGAAAACAATGCCCCACCTGCTTAAAAGGACTTTTATTTAGTCACGGCGATAGTTGTAGTGAATCGTCCGTTATAAGGAGATAATCAAATTGAGAAATGGCTGGGGTTCTGAGGAACGTATAATTAAGTTTTTTCCACGAAACACTTCGGATTTTCTTTTCTCCATTAACCATCTAAATATAATTTCTCAGTTCGATAGGTTATCAAACACAACGTCCTACTAGATTCGAATCTGTTTATAACTCTCATATTGGTGAAGGAGCTGGCCGGCCGGGGTGGTCTTGTAATAATGTGTGATTTCTTAGAGCGTTAGGGCTAGTGAACCTGTAAGTTAGTCGTTTTTGCTGTGCCTATCACAAAAATTATACAGATACACTGAAGATGACGATATAGCAGCGCAGAGCCAATTTTCATAGGCTTCATACAATTTTTGGGTAGGACTTGCTAGCAGCTATACTGAGTCATCAGTTGGAAAAAAAGTTCAATGGATTTGATCATTCATACACCACCAAAATACTGTAACAATTATTGGGGTGCAGTTTGGACAAATTTTGTGATTTCACCCTTACCAACTTGTATACAAGAAAATCTTACGCATATTGGGTTCAATGAAGGCTCCGCCATTTGTACGTTATGCGATGAGGAGGAAGAAACTGCCATCCAAATATTCGAATGCGAAGCACCCGCTCAATGGAGACAGAACCTCGCAGGAAATGGAATTGTAGCAACAACAGTCAATGACCTAATTCTCCTTAAAAGAAGGAATGAATCCACGGATTGAACTAAGCAACTAGGAAAGTACAATAAGCCCGATGGCTTTGGGGAACATCCATACCTCCTATTCTCCTTCTACCAACACCATCATCATCATACTATTCTCAAGTGACATGGACTGTACCTAAATTTTATCATCATTAGTAATTAAATGAATGAAACACAATAACAAACATCACAATAATAACACCCGCTCTACAACAATAACACAACATCCAAACCCAAAAATTCAATGGTAGCCAAAATCTTTAGTGGGGCTTACGGCTTCTTTGGGAGGATTTCAGTAAATTTATGTTGGATTAATTTCGCCTGTTAATCCTCTTTACAGATTATGCTCCTTGCTTAACTACTTAACCCTTTGGTAATTATTCAGAAATCGTGGGATGCGGTCTGGTGTGATGTAGGTTTCAGAAAAACATTTTCTTTATCGTGCCAAAGTTTCGATCTTTATTGAGATCATCTTCATCGATCTTAACGGTCACTAATCACCAAACATTTTTAACCCTTTGGTTTTATCCAAAAGCAAAAAGATGTTACGATTGATGTTCATGGTAAGCGACTATGACTGAAAACCAGAAATAAGTGCGGATCGTTGCGGTAGAGTCCAGGGGTCGGCAACCTGCTGCCCTTTACAACTTTTTGCGCGGCCCGCCAAAGCCCAATATAATTTTAGGAAAAATCAACAAACATAGAGCGTGAGCGTGCCGAAATGTGGCCGGTGACAAAAATGCGCGCTAACAGAAGCATAGTGGGACACCTATTTTACTGCGCAAGTGTAATCCCTACTCCCCATAATAATATTTATACTCGTATGATATAAAATCACTATTTAAGTTATATTTTAATGTGCGGCCCGCATAAAAAATTTTATTTTGAAAATGGCCCGCCGTCCGAAAAAGGTTGCCGACCCCTGCGGTAGACAGTGCGCTGTCGTAATACAAATCTGTATTTGTGTTGATAAACTACGAGAAATGAGGAGGCATTTTACAATAAGACTAAATTACTAAAACCCTACAACACGCTCGATTGAGGACATCTAAGCACAATGAAGCATTAATAACATTAAAAAAAAAAGATTTCAATGGTTGTACGTTAATTACTATGTC